GATGGAGAAATGCCTTTACTCGCAAATAATTGTTTCACAGATCACATTGTAGAGCTATGTTGAGAAATACATCTCCACGTTCACAACTAAATGTTACTTATAACAGCCATATGCCGTGGGAGGCCCCGCTAAAGACAACTTGGCATAGTAAGGCAGCGGCAATCATGATGATATGGGAGCCACAGAACCAACCTCAAAAACTAGACCAGCAAAGGAGGTTTCAAGGAAAGATATTGAGAAGGCTTAGAATAAATACACCAACTTTACTCTGATTTCTGTGGTTGAGGTAAGCCAATATTCCCAACTAGCAGTCCAATGTGGTCTGTGGGCAATTTTGTTTTTTGTAACATTTAGATTTGATTAATAATAATAATAATCCTTCCATTTGATATAACACTGTCTCAAAGCGCCTCACAGAATATACTATAAAGTGAATCGACTGTATCTTTTGTGGGCGAAACGCAACAGCTAATTGCTCACAGCAGTGTCCCACAAACAGACGTGGATTGAGTGACCAAATAATTATTTTTTCCAAGGGATTATTATCAGGTTCCTACTTACTGCTAGGTAAACAGAGGTGAGTTCCCCCGGCCCGGAAATTAAACCCAGGTCTTCTCGCTTGCAGGGCGAGTGCTCTCACCTCTAAGCTGCAGGATTCAAAATTCTTATTCCCAGTAATGCATTGCCATAACCTTTAATATATAAAGGTTTAGTACTCAACAATGTTTGCTAGAGTTAAAATGTTTCAGATGTGACCCTTCATCAGAGCATAAAGAGTTATTGGTTTGGCCCTGCTCTGAACTGCTCTGAGCTCTGTTTGTGGCAAAAGACTACAGTTTTTTAGTGCACTATTGCAGGAGTCAAAAGTAGATCAGTTCTGCCCTCGAGTAATGAGATAAGCTAGCGGTTTGACACTGTGGGAAACAGTTTCTGCTCAATTGAACATTACGGATTAAAGTTTGCAATGGCAGAAAATCAGACTTAAAACATTTTTTGCCCCAAATATAATTTTCTTGTGGGCAGAGGGTTTACCAACCCCTGGAAGATAGTGCCTCTTTGATGTCTGAAATTAGTATGTTTCTCAGTCAGACAAGATTAAGAGAGGACCAGGAAGTAAAAAGAAAAACTATAAGTGACCTTGCTAAATAAGTAGGAGGATATAGAAACATCAAAGGGCTTCTGGATTTCAAACCTGCTCTAAGGATGATAAACATTTCATTCAAATATTTATATGTAACCAGCCAGAAAGCAGGCTGATGGTTAACACGTTGTTTATGGAAGCTGAACTTTAGTGGAGTCCTGTAGCTCAGTGGTTAGAGCACTCGCCTTGCAAGTGAGAGGACCTGGGATTGATTTCTGGGCAGGGCAAAACATTAGGCAAGTCTACTTAATCCATACACCTCTGTGAGTGTATGAGTGGGAACCTGGTTGTTAGTCGAATGGCAGATCACTTTTCCGGGGATAATAATAAAAATAATAATAATAATATGGTCACTCAATCCACAACTCTTTATGGGACACTGCTGTGCACAATTCGCTGCCGCGTTTCACCCACAAACTATACAGTCAATTCATCAATTCACTTTTCAATATATTCTGTGAAGCGCTTTGAGACGAGATGCAAGGATTATTATTATTATTTAGTTTAGTTAGGCATACTTGTGTCAAACATTGTTTTCTGTGCAACACGTTTTTCGTGGTAAAAACCTCCAAGAACAAGTTGTTTAATATGTTCTCTAACTCCTATTTCAGTGATTGTTCGACAGAACAGCAAAAGAAATTCCTTTTTTTAATTTTCAGACAGTGTCATGAAATCCTTGACATTCAACTGAACAGTTAATGTTTCAGGTCGATGATCCGATGAGGTTCTGACGAAAGATTATTGACCTGAAACGTTAACTCACTTTCCTCTCTCCATCGATGCTTCCTGACCTGCTGAGTGTTCCCAGCCACTTCTGTTTTTATTGCTGTTTTCAATGCTGCTTTCACAGAATAGTACTGTACTGGAGGGTCAGCCTAGACTAGAGTGGACATATCTGTCTGTCTCTCTGTCTGTCTGTTGTGTGTCTATATCTGTCACTCTCTCTGTCTATGCATGACTCTGTATCGGTCTCTCTCTCTGTCATTGTATTCTCTCTCTCTCTCTGTTTCTGTATCTCTCCCTCTCTGTCTCTGTGTGTGTCTCTGTATTTTTCTCTCTGTCTGTCTGGGTGTATCGCTGTGTGTGTCTCTGTCTGTCTGTCTGTCTGTCTGTCTGTGTGTGTGTGTCTATATCTCTCTCTATCTGTGTGTGTGTGTATTTCTCTCTCTCTCTCTCTGTCTGTCTGTCTGTCTGACTGTCTGTGTGTCTATGTTTCTCTCTCTCTCTCTGTTTGTCTGTGTGTGTGCATCATCATCACCATCGGTGACCGGGCTTTCAGCCTCTCTGCCCCCACACTCTGGACCTCCATCCCACGATCCCTGCACCTCGCTTCCTCCCTTGCCTACTTCAAGGCCGGTCTCAAGAACCTTCTCTTCGACCGTGCCTTTGCCTCCCACCTCTCTCCCTTCCTTCACCTCTACACCACCCCTCCCCAGGCTCAGGCCCCGGCACCTGACTGTTCAGCGCTTTGGGACGTCCTCCCGACGTGAAAGGTGCTCTATAAATTTAATTTTGTTGTTGTTTTGTTGCATCTCTCTGTCTGTCTGTATGTATCTCTCTTCCTTTCCCTCACTCACGGTTTTGAAAGTGATTGACAGGTTCAGCTGTTAACCAGCACCTCTCTCCTCTGTTTTTCCCACTGGATCAGATGAAGTCTTGGCTCCGGTCACACAGTGCGACTGTATTCGCGGGCCAGATGACATCAGTCCTGGGCCGGATGTGGCCCGCGGGCCGCTGGTCGTTCCACCCTGGCCTAGACTACAAATGTAATGTTCCAACATAGAGGATTTGTGGAGTCCTGTAGCTTAGTGGTTACAGCACTTGCCTTGAGACCTGGGTTTGATTCCTGGGCAGGGCAAAACATCGGGCAAGTTTCCTTACTCCACACACCTCTGTTTACCTAGCAGTAAGTAACAATACGGTTGCTAGTTGATTGGCAGATAATAATAATTTGGTCACTCAATCCACGACTATTTGTGGGACACTGCCGTGCGCAATTGTCTGCCACCCACAAAATATTCAGTCACTACACTTTACAGTATATTCTGTATATATGTATATATGTGCATTTATATATATATATACGTTTTGAGACGTCATGAAGACATGAAGAGGCATTATATCAAATGCAAAGATTATTATTATTATTAATTAACCTGTCCCGTTTCCATCACTCCTCAACCACTATTTGAATGAAACCACTCATCACATTGCTCTTTGTGGGATGTTGCTGGCCAACATGAGCCACCACCTTTGCCTACATAAATTTGACTTAATTTTGAATTAAATTCATTCAGTCAAAATGTTTTTTATTTATGTGAAAGGCCTGCGCAAATAAATAATTATTTATAAATTATAATTATAATGGCTGACAAACCACTATGCCCCGAAACTCTGCATTTTTTCTCAAATCCCTGACTGTCCAGCACATTGCGACGCCCTCTCAGTGTGAAAAGCGGTATGATTCGTTGTTGTTGCTGTTATTAGTATTAGAACTGAACGCATCTCTCTATGAAAATGTGGGAATAGGACCTACCTCTCCGACGTGCTTAAGCCACAACCCGCTGCCTACGCTCGACTGGCTCTGCCTCCGTTCCACCATTGGTGGCTGCACTTTCAGCTACTACACCCCGAAACTCTGGAACACCTTTCCTTCGCCTTTCTCCTTCCTTCCGTGTCTTCAAATCGCGCCTGAAGACCTTTCTCTTTGACCGTGCCTATGGTCAACCCCCGCCCCCCGCCACCCACCCACCCACCCTGGCTCAGCGTTGGGCTGAGCCAATATCAAGCACTCTGGAACGCTGCCCTGCCTGAGAGGGCACTATATAAATCCAAGTTGTTTTTGTAAATTAAATTGTAGTAAATCTTGTATTGTAAGCTGTTGCTGATGTGAAGAGATGTTTTATTTGTTTGAAATACAGTAGTAAAGTACGTAGAAGAAAATTATTTATTTTACTTCATTACGAAGGACGATTTTAAGCGGCAAGCTTTAAGTTGATTTGAATTTTGACTATCAAACAAATCATTTGAATTCAACTAATTAGAGAGCAGATTTTTTATATTTAACTTGTTGAGGAGATACTATTTAGTTAAGTAGTTTGCTGATTTTTTAGCTGTTGATTAAAGTATATTGATTATTGTATATCACAAGCTCTCTGGGACGATACTCAGCATGAAGGGCGTGATATGAATGCAAGTTGTTGTTGTTGTATATGTAAGATACTTACACATAGTAGTCCAGATAAAGCTACATATTGAATGATTAAAACTATACACAAACAGGAAGGTTTCCCACTATAATTCTTCAAACAAATTTTTTTGTGTGTATCAACAATAATATAAATTATTTGCTGTTCTGAGAGAGAAAAAAAGTCTAGAGGTATTCTATTCTAGATTACTGCATTTTGTTTGTAGAATTTTCACTGAATTTCCAAAGTCAATTCCAAAGTTGCACAATACAACTATAAATTTCACCCACAAAATATACACTTTATAGTATATTCTGTGAAGCACTTGGAGATGTCTTGAAGACATGATAAGGCTTTGTATCAAATGCAAGGATTATTATTATTATTAAACAGTGGGTTTGAGACTTAATGGTAAACTATATCCAGAATAATTTACAATAATGTGAGGAAGGTAACTTGGGATGTATTTGCTATTGAATCCTAAACAAGACAATAAGGTTGAAATTACCAAAAATATAGGCTTTACCATTAAAATAAGTTCAAAGGAGACATAAGATCAGGTTTAAGTTCTTCGGATAAAAACAAAGGTACATTAGACAATACGGAATTCTATATTTCAGCAGTATTTAATGTAGATTTTTGCTAAAAAAATGTATATTGGAAAACATTTTTCAATGACAAATAATTATCCATTTGAAACAGATTTTGTAGGATTCTCTCTAGTAGGTAGAAATGTTCTATTCAGCTTTATTTGAACAGCATGGCTGATTGAACAACAGTTTTTTTAAGAATCTGTAAAAGGATAAAAATAGAATCGGTGTAAGTAAAGTGGGCTGAATGAAACAGAAAAATAGGATAAATAAAATAACTGGCACATTAAATGGAACACACTGAACATGTGATCAGAAATAATATGGGAACACTTTTATACTAATTACCTGAAAGCATCATTGGACTGGAATAACTATTTCTGTAGTAATTAAAGTTAATGTTTATTAAATCACACTTAATTTCATGTTGTGGCTATTATTGTAAGATCAATGGCTTTATTGCTTTTGATTCATTTCAAAGCTGTGACTAAACTCTTACTGAAATGTCATATGTTTATGCTGACCCCATAGGTCATCAATTATGCAGGCGTAGTACCATTTTTAACAACCTTTATTGTGATTCCATTTGCAACCTTTTTTACACAAATGTGCAAACAGCAAATTCTGGATTGTTCACAGCTATTCCTCAAATAATGCTCAGACACTGACTTCACAGAAGTTGAAGCTGATATATTGGTGATATAATAATAATCTTTTTATTTGATATCACGTCTTCGAGACATCTTAAAGCGCTTCCCAAAAAATATACTGTAAAGTGAATTGACTTATAACTTGTGGGCGAAACATGGCAGTCAATTGAGCACAGCAGCGTCCCACAAACAGTCGTGGATTGATTGACTAAATTATTATTATTAGTTATTTATTCAGAAGCGATTATGACCCCCGGAAAAGCTATCCTCCAATCGACTAACAACTGGGTTCCTACTTACTGCTAGGTGAACAGAGGAGTGTGGAATAAGGAACGTTTTCCCTTGCCCGGGAATTGAACCCAGGTCCTATATATATATTGATATATTGGGTATCTGAGAGTTCAAAAGAGTCATACAACCAAGATTCAGTATTTACAAAGCATTCTATAGACCTAACAAATTAGACCCTATTATCCTTATTATAGACATTTTAGCTGTTTGCTTTAAGAATTACTGAGATATAGACGCTTTAACAGGTTTCATGTAGGTGTCAAGTGTGCTCTAGTAGATTGGAATCTCAGATGTACAAATGAAGGATTAATGAATTATTGACCAGGATTGCATGTAGCACTGACAGTGCATTAGATGAGTTTGTAAAATCCATACAGGCAGTCACCTACATATAACTATATATAAGTCATAAGTAGCAAAGGAGACAAAGATCTTACGGGCTAGGCTAATAACCTAAGTGGGTCTTTCAGGTTGAAAGTTAAAATAGCTGTCTACAACAACTGTGTTGTCGAGTCCTGTAGCACTTGCCTCGTAAGGAGAGGACCTGGGTTCGATTCCTGGGCAGGGCAAAAGGTTGGGCAAGTTTCCTTACTCCACATGCCTCTGATTACCTTGCAGTAAGTAGGAACCTGGTTGTTAGTCGATTGGCGGATCGCTTTTCTGGAAGTAATAATTCCTTAAAAAAATGTTTATTCAATCCACAACTGTTTGTGGAACACTGCTGTACGCAATTGGCTGCTAAGTTTCGCCCACAAAACATACAGTCAATTCACTTTACAGTATATTCTGTAAAGAGCTTTGAGACGTCTTGAAGACGTGATAAGACGCAATATCAAATGCAAGGATTATAATGATTAAAGTTTGTTGTCTGGAATAATTTAACCCCAGCTGAAACTATTGCTACAATTTGTGATCAAGCTAACCTTCCAGAATTCATCTTAAACATGGACATGAGGTGCCAGAACCAATGCTCGCCCAAACACCCTTCCCCATGTGCGAGTTCCGACTTGCATCACCACTGTGTTTTTCACTGGGAGATTTTCATTTGTAACTTTGTTTTCTCCCCACTATAGGCCAAGGCCTCTGTTAGACTTAAGGCCTCAACAACCTTGAGCAGAAAAGCAATGCAAGATGAAGACCTCAACAACAATCAACACTAAATTACATTTACACAGCGCCTTTCATGTCAGGAGGATGTCTCAAGATGCTGGACAGTCAGGGATTTGAACCCGAGCAGGGGTTTGGAATCAGGAGGAGTGGTGGGCAGGGAGGATATGGCTGGGACGGTTGAAGAGGAGGGTCTTGAGACGTGCCTTGAAGGAGGCAAGGGAGGGAGCGAGGTGAAGGGACTGCGGGATGGAGTTCTAAAAGGTGGGACAGAGTGGCTGAAGGCCCGACTGCCGATGTCACCTCAGGTCACCTATAACAAAGCAATGACTTTGATGTACATATACTGTACTGCCCAATATTGCATTTGCATAACATTTGCACCTAATGTTATTTTATTGGTTGCACCACGTTCCTTCAGTTCATATCACTTCCTCATAAACACTCTGACTGAGCAGCATATCTTACACTATGTTTAACATTCAAGTAATTTTAATAATAATAATTGCATTTGATATAGCGCCTTATCACAGCTTTGAGACGTCTCAAAAGCGCTTCACAGAATATACTGTAAAGTGAATTGACTATATTTTGTAGGTGAAACGCGGCAGCCAATTGCTCACAGCAGTGTCCCACAAACAGTCGTGGATTATTTTATTTTTATTTATTTTTGAAGGGATTATTACTCCTGGAAAAGCGATCTGCCAATCGACTAACAGCTGGGTTCCTACTTACTGCTGGCTAAACAGAGGCATGTGGAGTAAGGAAACTTAGCCAATGTTTCGTCCTGCCCAGGAATTGAACCCAGGACCTCTCGCTTGCGAGGCGAGTGCTCTAACCACTGATCTGAATGTAAATCTGTGAGTGGAAAGTTTTATTTTGTCAATAGTAATTTGGTTTAAAATCACTTGCCAAACTTAGGTGATTCAATAAAAATCAAGGTAGTAATTATACAGCATGGAAAAGGAGGCAATGGTTTCAAATAACAAAATTGAGTTAATTAAATAGTAATGTAGTAGCATTACCAACAGAAAGGGAATGGAAGAATACATCATAGGAAAGCTGAAAACGATTGAATAGACAAACATAAACTGGTTACAAATTCCATTCAATTCATAGATAAATGGAATCATCAATAATAAAGTTATTAAAGAGAATCCTTGAAGAAAGGCCAACACATAGTGAGGCCAATCCCGAGGTTGAATAGTTGAACACCTTTAATTGTACACAGGTATCTTTTTAGTAGATGAATGATAATGATAACAATGTTATTATAATAATCCTTGCATTTGATATGGAGCCATAGATAGATAGATAGATAGATAGATAGATAGATAGATAGATAGATAGATAGATAGATAGATAGATAGATAGATAGATAGATAGATTGGTAAATTGGTAAATTGGTAAATTGGTAAATAGATAAATAGATAGATACATACATCGATTATCCTTTAAAAAAAATTTGGTCACTCAATCGACAACGGTTTGTCTGCTGTGTGCAATTGGCTACTGTCTCAAAGACATGATAAGCGGCTATATCAAATACAAGAATTATTATTATTATTAATAATAAAATGAAACACTTGGGTTAAATCATAAGAGAATAAACACAAACTCATACTAAGGAAAATCATTCTACTCATCAATATCAGGAAACCTGAAATGAAAATAAAATATTAGAGGTCACGCACCTTGCAGTTCTTCCTGCCTCTCTGCAACAATCCTTTCAAAATGCTCATTCATTTTAGGATACAACTCCAGGGTTTCATTGAAGTCGTCCTTGGATATCGTGTAGAATCTGCAAGGTGTCGTGGCTGTCACAGTGGCTTCCCTTACCTTATCAGTCAGTATACTCATTTCTACAAAGGGAGTGAAAACAAAATTATGAGTGGTTCAGCAACTTCACCCACAAAATACAGTCAATTTACTTTACCATCTGGAAGGCATGATAAAGCGCTATATCAAATGCAAGCATTATTATTATTATTTAGAAAAAAGCCTGATCAGGTCAGCAAATTTTATGTAAATTGGAGTAAGGAAACTTCCCTAACACTTTGCCATGCCCGGGAATCAAACGTGGGTCCTCTCGTTTGCGACATATAAAGTAGGAATATTTACACAAAAATAGCATTTCTTATGTTTGGACACAGATGACTGAAAAAGTCATCATAAAACAGATGTTGCCTTAAAAGTGCAACTAGATTCATAAATACTTCACTACAGTGTCTGCTTGTCGGGATGCTCTGCTTAGCCAGGCTAATTCTCCTTCCCAGACTGGGTGTGAAAATTAGTAAAATGATGAGACAAAAGCTATTTTTAAACGTCAGATATTTACGCAGGTACGTTTGTGTATAGGTGCTGCACTGGTGTGCCTATAAATAAAGATAATCTGCTTCACGTAAAGTTCATATCATTTGAGTTATATGTGAGGTGCTGGCAAGAATTCCATTTAAGTTTAATATCTCGACTGAGCTCTTGCTCACAACCTGAATCTGCTCTGAAACTTTTGAGTTAAGAAGTAATAATAATAACAATAATTGCTGCCTTTGATATAGCTCTTTATCACATCTTTGAGAGCTGCATAGAATATACAGTGAAGTGAATTGACAGTATATTTTGTAGGCAAAACACAGCAGCCAATTGCGCACAGCAGTGTCCCACAAACAGTCGTGGATTGAGTGACCAAATTATTATTATTATTTGTTTTGTTGAGGGGATTATTACCCCCCGAAAAGTGATCTGCCAATCGATTAACAACTGGGTTCCTACTTACTTCTGGGTAAACAGAGGCGCGTGGAGTAAGGAAACTTGCCCAACGTTTCGCCCTGCCCTGGAATCGAACCCAGGTTCTCTCGCTTGCGAGGCGAGTGCTCTAACCGATAAGCTTTGCTTTCACAATAATAATAATAATCCTTGCATTTGATACAGTGCTTTTCACGTTGGGTGGACATCCCAAAACGCTTCACAGAACACACTGTAAAGTGAATATATATTTGTGGGCGAATGCGGCAGCCAATTGCGCACAGCAATATCCCACAAACAGTCGTAGATTGAAAATGACCAATTTAATTATTGTTTTTGGTTTTGGAGGGATTATTATTAGGCTCTGTGTGGAGTAAGGAAACTTGTCCAAGGTTTCGCCCTCTGCCTGGAATTGAACTCAGGTCTCTCGCTTGCAAAGCGAGTGCTCTAACCACTGAGCTACAGAACTCCACTAAATCTTTGCTGGTTAGTAAAATGTAATACTGATGGTTGATAACATAGATAGTATTTGATAATTCTAATATTAATATGTAAGTATAATAATTATTATAATGATAATTAGAATTAAAAGACAACTATAAAAATAGCATGTAATTATAATAAAATTTGTTCAGTATAATAATGATAATAGGTAGTGTTTAGTAATTGGAGTTGAGGTACAGATCAGCCATGACCTTATAGAAACGTGGAACAGGCTGTTAGAGTCTTCCTATATTCCTATATTAGTAATGTCATGAGGCCGTTAAAAAAAATTTAAGTGACTTAAGTCAGTCTTTTACACGAGTGAAATAAAATTCAATGTACCACAAATTCTCCAACATTGAATTTTGGTTCCTGAATGCTTTTGCACTTCATAGTATTCATAGCAACAACACCACCAACAAATGGAGTCCTGTAGCTCAGTGGTTAGAGCACTCGCTTTGCAAGTAAGAGCTGAGTTCAATTCCAGGCAGAGGGCAAAACCTTGGGCAAGTTTTCTTACTCCACACACCTAATAATAATCCCTCCAAAACAAAACAATAATAAATTGATCATTTTCAATCTACAACTGTTTGTGGGACACTGCTGTGCGCAATTGGTTGCTGCGTTCGCCCACAAATATACAGTCAATTCACTTTACAGTTTGTTCTGTGAAGCACTTTGGGACGTCCTCCCGACGTGAAAAGCGCCATATCAAATGCAAGGATTATTATTATTATTTAAATTATATTTCTATAGCGCCTTTCACGTCGGGAGGACGTCTCAAAGCCTGGACAGTCAGGGATTTGAGATCAGGAGAGGTGGAGGGCAGGGAAGGTAGGGAATTCACTTTAGAGTCTATTCTGTGAAGCGCTTTGAGACGTCGAGAAAACGTGAAAAGCGCTATATCAAATGTAAGGATTATTATTATTATTATTATTATAGGAGGGTGGTCGAAGCAACGGTCAAAGAGGAGGATCTTGAGACATGCCTTGAAGGACGCAAGGGAGGGAGCTAGTGAAGGGGCTGCTGGATGGAGTTCCAAAGTGTGGGGGCAGAGACGCTGAAGAACAATGGTGGGTTGAGCCGGCGGGGAACGTGGACCAGGCCGGAGCCTATAATATTAAATACTGGAGTTGTACAGAAATTGATTCAAAGGGCCTCTTTGATCCACAGCCGCTCACAGCTAAACTGTTTATTATTCACAAATAAGATATTAGAGGACATTAATTTGAAATGAACAATTCAGGTCCCAACAAGCTTTCTAAGAGGAGCGAGCAGCTGTCGTGATCAGATGTAGAGGAGCAGAGAGACACCCAAAGAAAGAGTGTCACTGTCAGTGAGAAGGTACAGTAATATTATAATAAAATTACTATATTATTTTTATTATTATATCACTATGCCCTCGCACCTCCCTACCTCTCCGATCTGCTAACCCCCACACTCCACCACCCGCTGCCTCCGCTCGGCCGGCTTCAGCCTCTTGTTCTACAAGGACTACAGGACACCACCCCCCCCAAACCCTGGAACTCTCTCCCTCAATCTCTCTGCCTTGCCCCCTCCCCACCTTCAAATCTCATCTAAACACCCTCCTTTTTGATCGTGCTTATGGTCACCTCCCCGCTCCCTCTCCCCCTGGCTCGGTGTCAGACTCTGCCACTGTCAACCACTCCAGGAGGAGTGAAGGACACTATATAAATGCAAGTTGTTGTTGTTATAATGTTGTTACAATGCTTATTATGAGGCCCTCAGCACTCATACAATTCCATTTCAGTCACAGGAAAAGAGAAGTCCATCAATACTTGGCTTGTAAGGAAGGACATGAGTTGGTGGAGAAAAGCAGCTAGTGGTATTGAGTTACACATCAGCCATGATCTCAGCCATGGCAGCACCGACTGAATAGCCGAGGCATATTCCTATGTTCCTTATATCTTCACAAAAAGCAGATTACTGAGAGCACCTGCCTAAGTGTATTATAATCATCATGGCAATCCTAGCCACGTACAGTACAGCCTGTCTATATATAGTGATAGACACTGAGAGAGGCTGTGTGTATACAGGAGTGGCTGCGTATATACAGGAGAGACACTTGGAAAGGCTGTGTGTATACAGTGATAGACACTGGGAAAGGCTGTGTGTATACAGTGGGAGACGCTGGAAGAGGCTGTGTGATTACAGGAGACGCTGTGTGTACGGGAGAAAAATTGGGAGAGGCTGTGTGTATACATGCCTGATAATAATCGCTCAAGAAAAAAACAAAAAGACTTGGTCACTCAATCCATGACTGTGGGACACTGCTGTGCGTAATAGGCTGCCGCGTTTCATCCGCATATATACAGTCAATTCACTTTACAGCATATTCTGTGAAGCGCTTTGAAACATCTAGAAGACGTGAAAAGCACTATATCAAATGCAAGGATTATTATTATTACAATTTAAAAATATCTCAAAGCGCTCCCACAGATAATTGCTGTCAAATGCAGTGACTGTGTGTTTTACAGGCAAATACATCTACTCTTTTGGACACAACAATACTCCACCATTAGCTATGGGTAAATGACCCATTGATTCCTAAAGCCACCTCAAAGGTTGTTAAATGTGGGCAACATGTTTCGGAGATCTCCTCTTTGAAACTTCATTTGTGCCTTGGTCAAACGTTTCCCCCCCCACTCCCTCCCTCCCATCTAAGCGAGCCGTTCACCAAACTGGTCATCAGAGCACTCGCCTCGCAGGCAAGAGGACCTGAGTTCGATTCCCGGGCAGGATGAAACGTTGGGCAAGTTTCCTTATTCTACACGTTCCTGTTTACCTAGTAGTAAGTAGGAACTCAGTTGTTAGTCAATTGGTGGATCGTTTTTCCGGGGGTAATAATCCCTGCAAAAATAATAATAATTTGGCCACTCAATCCACGATTGTTTGTGGGACACTGCTGTGTGCAATTGGCTGCCCCATTTTGCCCACAAAACACACAGTCACTGCACTTTACAGTATATTCTGTGAAGTACTTTGAGACATCTCAAAGTCGTGAAAGGCGCTGAATCAAATGCAAGGTTTATGATTGTTAATATAAGAAGAAATACCATGAAAGGTTTTCCATTCTCCTCCCTTTCGAATCAGTAAAATTCTCGAGCGGATGGAACAATCGGCTATAAGTTAGGAGTTAAAACAATGTGTATTGCTTCAAATCAAGATTAAATACAGTAACAAAGTCCGGGCCACATGTCTTAGTCATCAAGAGTGATTAATTCTTCTTTGTATGGATTGAATTAATTTGAGTATGTCTGTGGAGCTTGCTGACGGGCTACAGTTCTTTCCATTCAACTATCCTTGGGTTATTTTTCTGCTGAATTTAAAATGAAGCTAAACTGTAATGCTGCATGGCAGATAGTGGATCATTGCTTTGATAAACATCTAAGATGCTAATGAACAAAGGAATACTGACTTGACAACACACAGCTTTTCAAAAATAACATCCTGAATGAAAAAACGCATCTCGGGAAAATAATTCTGTCCTCAACGTTGATTTCAATCTGGCATTTTTTTCCTTTTATATAAATAAAAAAACATATTTGCACATCAAACGCAAATGCTTTGAAACTGATGAGGATTCAGATCGGCCCTGCTTGGCATGCAAATT